GGACGCTTAACCGACTGCGCCACCCAGGCGCCCCAAAACTTTGATGTATATAATACTGTAGCGTTTGCAAGTGATTCGGTTAGTGATTTTGTCTTTTATTCTTCACAACAGAAGCCCTCTGCTCAAATCCTGGTTTTCTGACTTCAAGCACATGCCTTTTGCTGTAAGGTAAAAATGCTTGGAGATGGTGATGGTGGGTTTGGGCACAGTTAAGAGGTCATTTGTGTATTTATTATCATTAACTTCTAAACAAGAAAGTGCCCATTCACAATAAAGAAAATTGTATTTTGAGCCTAGACTAATATCTCTATTTCCGAAGAAAATCCTGTCTTGTTTCTTAAAGAGCTGTTATCTTCATTAGAAGCTGTTGCATATCAAATTAGCTTTGTTTCTTGACTTTGGCAGAATGAGAAGTTATACTTATGCTTACTATATTTGCGCCAGGGTGTGTTTTGAAAACTGAAAATGCTTTTGATATGCCTAATATCTTGTTTTGATAGTTAAATAAAATATGGTTATAGTTTCTAGATCATAAACACGTTTTAAAAAATCCATATTCCTAAAATTCTTGTCAGAAATGTGTTTCATGTTAGTTTTTATTATTTTAGCTACGTATGCTTATTCCCTTTTATTTTTCATTTGTTACTCATTTGTTTGTTCATTTAAAAAAATTTTTTTTTCAACGTTTATTTATTTTTGGGACAGAGAGAGACAGAGCATGAACGGGCGAGGGGCAGAGAGAGAGGGAGACACAGAATCGGAAACAGGCTCCAGGCTCTGAGCCATCAGCCCAGAGCCCGACGCGGGGCTCGAACTCACGGACCGCGAGATCGTGACCTGGCTGAAGTCGGACGCTTAACCGACTGCGCCACCCAGGCGCCCCTCATTTGTTTGTTCATTTGAAAATGTTTTTTAAGTACCTACTATATGGCAGGTGTTCTTCTGGCATTGGGATGCAATACTGAACAAAACCAAGTTCCTGCATCAGTGTAGCTACATTTGTGTATATGTGTGTGTTTGAGAGCTAGATCATATGTCAGCTAGTGATAAGTGATATTAAGAAAAATCAAGCTGTATAAAAACAGAAGAATGGTAAGGTACTGTTTTAGATCATATGACCAGGGAAGTCCTCTCTAAAAATAGAGCATCTGAGTAGAGATTCAAAGGAAGGGAGACAGTGAGAAATGGAAATGTAGGGGAAAGGTAAGTGTAAGGAGAATAGCAAACATGAAGGCCAAGTATGGAGATAGAAATGCACCTGGTATGTTCAAGAATCATCAAGGAGTCCAGAGTGGCTGGGACAGAGTGGGAAAGGCAGGGTGTAGTAGGAGACAAAGTCAGTGTGAGTGGAGGGCAGGAGCTGCAGCTGTAGAACATGATGAGGACACCAACTTCACTTTGAAGGAGATGCAGAGTGATGGCTGAAGGATTTCCAGCAGAAGAATATCATGATCTGACTCACATTTTATAAATACCACTCTAGCTGCCGCATGGAGAACAGACTACGTGGAGGGAAAGAAGACAGATCGGGGGCCTCCTGCCATGATGAAGGCAAGGGATGCTGGTGGCTTAGTCTATGGTAGAAACCATGAGGGTGGCAGAATGGCATCAAACTTGGATGTGTTTCTCAGAAGGGCTAACAGGATTTTCTGAGCAGTTGGATTAGATTGGAATATATTTTTGAGATGGCTATTAGTCAGTGGAGGAGTTGAGTACATAGATGGATATGTAAGTCTGGAGTTCAGAAGAGGGCTGGGCTGGAGATAAAACTGCAGGAGACAGCAGTATTCACATGGTATGTAAAGTCATGCCAGCGACCTGTGACACTCCAAATCACACAGCTAGTGTAGACTGCTGGTGATTCACACAGAGTAAGAAAATGAAAAATAGCTGTCGGTATCAGAAAACCTGGATTCAGACCCTGCCTCTGAAATTTACCTATTGCTTTATGACCTTGGGCCAAGTTATTACAACTGTTTTGAATCTCAGTTTCTCAATTTATAAAATTGTAGTCAAAATTCATACATTAATGCTAATAAAATATATGATAAGTACCTGGCCTCATGACGAGCACGTAGTAGGTACTTGATGTGTGGTTGCTATGATAGCTATTTTGGTTGCAGTAGCTACCATCCAAGCAGTAACTACTGCAAGATTAGT